AACGAAAATGTCACCGTAAAGGTTAAGGAGTCAAACGCACGACTCCGCAAGTGACGCGAAGCAGCAGACGCGCACCGCGCCTGCTTTTAGTCATGGCTGGCGCCTTGTAGAAGAGAGCAACAGCATAGAGAGTGACTCAGTATAGGACTGTGCGAGCTCAGCAAAAAAGACTATTGAAAAGGGCGTGTTATTGTGTTTAGCCTACCCAAGCACATCAGCTGCACGATGGTCTCCAATGGTTTTCATAAGAGGTCAACCAGAGGCCTGTCACTAGCGCTCACGGACGTACGCGCTCGGCGACTGCCTGCGCTTCCGTCGCAGTACTGGACCGTATTTGACCGTCCGCAGCGCAGGTATTGTGAACTAATGGTCATTCGCTTCAAATCGAACGCCTCCGCATTTGTTTTGGAGTATGGCAGAATTGCACGTAGGAAGTTACTACTAAGGTTTCGTATTTTCGATTAAGTCTGAAAAAAAAACAAGTCCGACAACACTCGCCCATACCATTTTTGATCATTCAATTTATTCGACAAACTCAGACTTAATAGACCAATATTACGCTGTTCTAATCGGGAAGACGTGTCCTAAGCGTGCTTTACAAATAGGGCAATATGCCTGGTTTTGTGTTTCTCGCAACAAGTTTTATGATTGTAATACACGCGAAGGTTGGTGTTTTTGTATTGAAGTTCTCGTGATCGTTTTGACATGTGGTTGTGCATTCCAACTTTCCTATAACTAAAACGAGCTTGATTGCCTGATGTATTCGAAATTAGATATCCTTCCATCTAACGTAGTGTAATACTGAGGGTAATGCAAAATTACACGACTTCCTATAAGTCTATAAATTATATTAGATTTGCTGAGAATTCGGCAATTATAAAATCACACTTTCATAAACGCCAAACTATCACCGAGAAATAAACTAAAAAAGTCCCTACGAATCTCAATAGACGGAGAATGTTGAAAAAATGGTATGCTCAACTATAGAATGGTAAACTCGCTAATTGGAATAATGAGGAACGCAGAATTTTGTTTTTTAACAACAGAGCTGATTACGGTTTTAGTTTGTCCGGAGAGTACGAATTGAAATTCTTGTTCTTGTTGACCTTTTCTTGTAGCTCATGCCCACTGTGGGTATTGACCAACAATTAAGTGGTCTTACAAGATCTTATTAAATTTTATCAAAATCGTTAACCGGCCCGTATTTTCTCGTTCTGTTCGTCATCTGCTTTTCTCCAATAATAGGTGCACCGATTTGTCCAGATCGCAATACAAAGATCCTGATAAACTAGTGTGTTACATATTCAAAACTGACGTTACATCGCGTAACGCATAGTCACGATTTTAAAGCCACGTAAAATCACGTAACAACTAGTCATGAAAAAAAGTCTGAAATTGTTTAACTATCTAAGTGATCAAAATCACGTACTGTCACCTAATAACTACTCACGTGACTAAAATTCTGTAATCATCATCATCATCATCAGCTTGACTACGTCCACTGCAGGACAAAGGCATCTCCCATGTTCCGCCAGTTAACCCGGTCCTGTGCTTGCTGCTGCCAATTTATACCCGCAAACTTCTTAATCTCATCTGCCCACCTAACCTTCTGTCTCCCCCTAACCCGCTTCCCTTCTCTGAGAATCCAGTTAGTTACCCTTAATCACCAGTGGTTATCCTGTCTACGCGCTACATGCCCGGCCCATGTCCATTTCCTCTTCTTTATTTCAACTATGATATCCTTAACCCTCGTTTGTCCCCTAATCCACTCTGCTCTCTTCTTGTCTTTTAAGGTTACACCTACCATTTTTCTTTCCAATGCTTGTTTCGTCGTCCTCAATTTACGCTGAACCCTCTTTGTAAGACCCCAGGTTTCTGCTCCGTAGTTAAGCACCGGCAAGATACAGCTGTTATATACCTTTCTCTTGAGGGATAGTGGCAATCTACCCGTCATAATTTGAGAGTGTTTGCCGAATGTGCTCCACCCCATTCCTATTCTTAGTGTTACTTTAATCTCATGGTTAGGCACTGCGGTTATTACCTGCCCTAAGTAGACATAGTCTTTTACAACTTCAAGTGCACTATTACCTATCTCGAAGCGCTGCTCCTTTCCGAGGTTGCTGTACATTACTTTCGTTTTCTGCAGATTAATTTTAAGACCCACCTTTCTGCTCTCCTTGTCTAACTCCGTAATCATGAGTTGCAATTTGTCCCCTGACTTACTCAGCAATGCAATGTCATCGGCGAAGCGCAAGTTACTAAGGTATTCTCCGTTAACTCTTATCCCTAACTGTTCCCATTCTAGGCTTCTGAAAACCTCCTGTAAGCACGCGGTAAATAGCATTGGGGAGATTGTGTCCCCCTGCCTTACACCCTTCTTGATTGGTATTCTGTTGCTTTCTTTATGAAGCACTATGGTAGCAGTTGATTCCCTGTAGATTTCTTCCAGAATGTTTATATATACTTCATCTACGCCCTGATTCCGCAGTGTCTGCATGACGGCTGATATTTCTACTGAATCAAACGCCTTCTCGTAATCTATAAAGGCTATGTATAGTGGTTGGTTATACTCTGAGCATTTCTCTATTACCTGATTGATAGTATGAATGTGGTCAATTGTGAAATTCCGTAATATCACGTATCATCTAGTCACTCAACCAAATACCACGTAACACAACGTAAGTACTCATGTTATTAAGAACCATTCATGGCATAAATATGCACACATACTTATGAGCTGAATGGTTCTTACTAAAGTGAGTATTACATTGTGTTACGTGGTATTTGGTTCAGTGACTAGTTTATGCGCGATATTACTGAATTTTTAGTCACGCGAGTAGTTATTAGGTGACAGTACGTGATTTCCCTCACTTATATAGTTAAACAACTTCAGACTTTTACTTCGTGACTAGTTGTTACGTGATTACAACGTAAATAAGTACTCACGTAAGTACTCACGTTATCAGGAACCATTCATCTCATAAGTATGTGCGCGACTTCAGGGCACGTTAGGTCGCGTAAGATGGCATAACTACTCGAATGAGTAGTAATCATGCAAATTCAAATAAGATTTAGTCACGTGTCTAAAATCACGTAACATCAAGTTACGTCACTAAAATTAGTGAAACATCACGCAACACCCATTCCCCTCACTAAATTAACGTTGTTTCACAGTCCTCGTATGTTTTACAGTGCTGTTTTTACCTTCGTTATAAAGTCACGTAACATTGTCCCCTGAATAAATAATGATACGCCACGTAAAGCCCTGTCACGTGACGAGAATCACGTTACATTACTTAATAACTAACTGGTGGAACGAAATATTCCCGCTTTAAACCAGTCATAAACTAATCATGCGAGTAAAGCCATGCAACCTCACGAATCCGTCACATGACGTGTTTTCGCCGAAATCACGTAGCAGCCACTCACTAGTCATGTTCCCAGCAGAAGCCGTGGCGAGAAATAGCTATGTGAATAAAATAACGCAATATATCCTAACGTTAGTCACACGGTTAAAATAACGTAACAATTAGTCAGACTCGAGCTCCGAGCACGAGCTGCCCGAGAGGCGCTGCGCTGCGACTAAGTGGTGACGATGATGAAGGATAAAGATAAAGGCGCTACACCACGTAACACGTGCGGAGTGCGAGTAACCAACCGGAACCGGCGAATGCCTAAGCCCAGCCATAATTAGTTCTACAAATAAATAGCATCTCTGCAAATGGTTGGATCTACTTGACAAATCTGAGCATCTGATTTGTAAACTAGCTCAGTAGCGTAACCTGGGCGTGGCACACAGGGCCTCCGCCCCCCCCCCCCCCCTACCCCTCCTCCCGAAATTTTTTTCGACATACAGAGCGAAATTTCACCTTTTCAAGGAAGTGCCTCCTACCCCATGGAATCAAGGAAGTGCCCTCCGTGTCCGCCCCCCCCCCCCCCCCAAAAAAAAAAGATTTGCTTAAGCACGCTCCGTATGCTCCAGGCATGGTCTTACCCCTATCGAGGATTTTCAGCATGCTTCCTCCGGAAGTTGATCTACCTTGCCCAGATTGGGTTTAACATTGTTCTCAGAGTCACATGCTCTGGTCGTGCCCTGTGGAACAGTACTTTAAAACAGAAGAAGACTGGGCGACAGTAATTACGAACCGTAGACGAAATACGTCCAGCTTTAGGCTGTCCACAGGGTCCATGAACGTGCGGAGAGGCACGGCCTCTCTGTGCCGAGTAATGTGCTTAACCTAATTGGCACACTGTCTCACCTGTCAGGACCAAAATAAAGTTGTTTGTCTGTCTGCCTAAGACCGTGCACTAGCTCCACCGTTTGGACTAGCCTGGTGCCAGTCATGCAAGCTGTGAACATTTTTTTTCTCTTTCTTGTTAGTTACCAACAAGCGCTGATCATTTGAATAGATGAAAAAGCGAATGACTTAGCACACCATATGTACTCTTCTATATAAGAGACAGGAAAACTGGAATATCAAGAAATGTTTCTCTGGTTTTTAATTGGGAAATGGATGATGATGATGCGTGGTGTTTCATGGCGCAAGGGCCATTTGATGGCCAAAGATCACCAGGTCACGGGTCAAGAGGAGCGAATAATGGTTATGATAGGTGGCTGTATAAGGGCCTCAAAACTCTTCGTGCTAACGCGGGTAAAAAACAAAGAAGGATTTTTTTACCCGCGTTTCATATGCTTGCATGACTGTGACATCCAAGACAAACCTCGAACGTGTGATCGACTTCTTTATTAAGAAGTTGCAGTACTGCAATCTGGCAATGGTGGTATTTCATTCTTGAACAACGAAAAACTTTCCATCATCCATTCCCTTAATGCACCAAGAAGATGGAATGAGTATAATACGCTGGTGGATTCTGTAGCGTAGACGGTGGAGACAAGGTTATGGTCGTTTGAGAATGTACCATTAATTCGGCGAAATAAGCCTTCTTTCAACCTGCACTAGCGGATGCTCACGCAGGTCATTGTGTTTCTTCCTTCTCAGGTGCAGCAGTCGCAGCACCGAGACGATGCTGGACTGGCAGCCAACCGGGTCGATGACCCGGCGCCAGGGTTCAAGCCGGCGCTCGCCCGCTGCACCAGCCACGTCCGGCTCGGTGGTGCCGGGCTCGCAGCGGTCCCTGCTCAGCGACCCCGACGAAGAAGAGTTCGGGGCCCCCGACGAGCCCTCGTCACCGCCCCTGCCGCCGCCGCTCCCACGGGCGCCACCGCCTTACGAGCGACAGCAGCAGCAGCAACAGCAAATGCCAGACTGCGTCATCATCTCATCGAGGACCATGGACCGTTTCCTGCCTTCCTTCGGACAGGCAAGTATGCGTGTGCTCGAACGTAATTAAATGCATTACAGGGACACTAAAGATTGATGATTATATGATTGATTGATTGATTAATTATATGATTGATTAATTATATTATTGATTGATTGATTGATTGATTGATTGATTGATTGATTGATTGATTGATTTGTGGGGTTTAACGTCGCAAAACCACCATATGATTATGAGAGACGCCGTAGTGGAGGGCTCCGGAAATTTTGACCACCTGGGGTTCTTTAACGTGCACCCAAATCTGAGCACACGGGCCTACAACATTTCCGCCTCCATCGGAAATGCAGCCGCCACAGCCGGGATTCGATCCCGCGACCTGCGGGTCAGCAGCTGAGTACCTTAGCTACTATACCGCCGTGGCGGGGCGGGACACTAAAGAGAAATACTGATTTGGTTTACGTTTATAAACTGGACCATGAGAACTCCATTGCGACATGTCTCGCTATCATATGTTCATAAGTAGCGAAGAAAAACAAAGCTTACAGATAAATTTTTAAATCTCGCGCGAAAGTCACCGCGTGTGACGTCAATCGAAATGCATCTTTCGTATTTTCGCGGCATTCCCAAGCTGAGATTTTTTTTTAAACTTTGTATGCTAGGTATACTTGGCACCCACAGATGTCAAAGTACTTCATTTTTTAATCGATTACAAGCTTGGTTCAATGCCTGATCAAGTATTTGCATTGTTCAATGCCTGGACTATAGTTCAATGGCTGGACAAGTATTTGCCCAGTTCAATGAATGTGTGAGATTCACTCGCCAGTTACTGACATGTTCTTATTGCTTGCTAAAAGCTTTATAAGACAGTATGAACGCGAGCTGCTAGCTATAGGAATGTTATGCGTGTTCAAGCTTTACCTTTGTGCTTTTTTGTGTAAGCCCAACAAAAGCCTTCGTTTATAAAAGCCAAGGTTCAGTATCATCACTGCTTAAGGCGTAAAGAGGTAGTTTCGCAGAAATGCTGGGGCCGTTGTCATTGTCGGGATCGGAGTCTTTAACTGTGGGTGAAAAATTCTTGACCAAAAACTGAGAAAGATGCAAATAAGAAACAGTTTGGACATAGTGAAAAATGGACCAAGGCCGTCAATGCAGAACACAGACGTTCTACCGGAAAAAAAAACACGCTATTGTTTGAAACTACACCGGAAAAAATACTATATGATTGTAATGTAGTCCGGGGAGTCTCCATAACGCAGGTGATTTTGCCTGACAGAAAAGTGTGGTCGTCCAAGCCATCAAAACATGAGAATTTCGCAAGGAGTGGGCATTCTAAATACCGACCCGTTACAAACCGCTCAAATTTACTTAATCACCAATGCCATCAAGATTTTTGTTTTTAGCTACATGTCGGCTAAAAACAGAACTTTTTCAAGTTTGTAGAGTATAAAATGACTCCCTAACGTCCCCCCCCCCCCTACTGCTCGGGTCTTGGCTTCCGTAGTGGGGTAGGGCTGAAGCCCTCCTTTGCTTAGAAAAAGAACCCTTATACGAAAACCAAGTACCTGACGCCTAAATTACTTTCATGTTTTTGTAGCAGTGTTTTTATGTACTGGGGTAAATGATGGTAAATGCCAACTGGGAAAAATTATTTCGTTCTGTATTTAAAAAAGTATGTAGGTTTCACGTCCTAAAACCACCGTATAAATATGAGAGACGCTGTAATGGTGGGCTACGGAAATTTCGGTCATCTGGGTGTCTTTAAAGTGTCCCGAAAACTAAGGTGCACCCAATGAAGGAGAACAACGTGCTTCTACAAAGCACACCGTCGCAGCTAATTAAAAGGTGATGCTACACGTCCCGCCGTTACATAACGTCGAGTGTGTTTACTATTTATGGCAAAAGGGTGAGTCATTCCTTCAGTGCATCGTGGGATATAGCGTAATATCGCTGACACTTAACGTCACTCTTAATAATAGTATGCGCATGCTTGACGTTTTTTTTTTCAAATATTTTTTTTTCTAAATGTCACCCCACATAAGGCTCGGCGAATACCATGCACAGTTAATTAACTCTCTAGGGTGCTAGCACGCACACAAGTTCGTAAGTACGGGAAAGAACACTGAACACAACTCCCTCCATTTTGAGTAGACGCAAAATTTTCGAATTGGTGTGGACCTTTCTGGTGTTGTTTCTACAATAAGTAAATGTAGCATATGTTTCAATACTCACACTCAGGCGAGTTAACTCCTTAGTAGAGCGGTACTGCTTTGAAAAGGAACTAACACATCGTTCATTTACTGACAAACAGGCTCATGCCGGCCCATGTACAGTGGGGCACGCTAGCACTTGCTGAGGCAATTGTAAGGCCGCTACTACAAACAGAACTTCTGAAATGTTAATTTTGTACCTGTCTGTGCAATTTGTTCTTTTTTCTGTTATTCCCTGTTTCTTTCCTCCTCTTTTGCTTTGCTCCATGTTTCCCCCTTCATGATATAGCATACAAATGTTATGCCCTTTTCAGAGGCATTTTCAAGCCTTTTTCCCGGTGTCTTCTGTGTCTGTGTGTTTTATTTGTGTATACACCCGAGCCAAATTATAACAAAATGTGTTAGGGAACTTTTTTAACAGCCCGATCATATTAAAGTTCCGGGCACTGCTACAAAGAAAGCCAAATAAAATAAAGAAACGGTAAATGAGTGCGTGACGAGATTTCGAAGAAGGGATGCAGTTCGTAATGAAGAGAAAGGAAGACGTTATCTTTATCTGCTACTTGCATGACGACGTTCAGCTCAAACTCCAGTAGACGTGATAAAAATTCTGAAAAGCAGTCAGCGATGCACTTGAAGGAATAATACGTAACACAAGAAAATAATGTGCTGAAAAGTGAGTATGGACCGAATTGCATGCTGCCTGCTGACTAAGCTAGCTAGTAAACCTTTACTAAATGTAAACTATGCAAAACAAACAGAGGGGTGAAGGATAACAAACCTCGACAAATGCAAATGTTCTGTAGTGCATGACGCGTCCATAAACACGCCAGATTCTTGAACGTCGAGAGACATTCGAGAAGCCCGACGAAGTGGTGCCGCAGCCCGAATCAACGTTAGTCACGCTAGAACGCGAAAAGCGTCAAATAATAAAAATATTGTATAAACGGGCTCCTTTGCTGAATCGTCGTTGAAGCCTTAGAGTGACTTCAACTCTTCAACTACCGTCCTTCAACTCTTTTCGGGTGTATAGAAAAATCAGGAATACCCAGCGCCCATTTTGTCTCAACACAGCGAAGAAAGACAGTTTCATGAGAAAAAGTTTGTACTTGGAGGGGAAAAAAAACAGCTTTCCATTTATGATGCCAACAAATATCGAGCTTAGTGTGAAAACCTAACTAGAAAACTTCTTTCTTTACAATTGGCCACTCTGATTTTAAGTGTTTTTTCTTCGAAATAAACATATATTCGAACCGACATTAGAACCTTCGTTAGAGACTCCATTTTTATGAATACCTTATCGCTTTCATACAAAATATGCTGGTCGTAAATTCACCTAAATGGTAATATTGTAGCACTACACTCGTACCCCTGTTACATGAGCGATCACCGATAATGACAGCGCCCTACTCGTAATTCCAGGTTTCTGTGCCTCTGATTATTATTCCGGGATAGCGAAGACCAGAAGGGCTTGACTGACTAGACGGGAAGTAAAACCATAACGTCACTGATTGTGCAGGGCATGATACAGCGAGGCTATACCTTCACGAGCAGTGTTCGAGGACATATTGAAACGAAGTTCACAATGCGACAAGCCGGAACAAAAATTTGCCTCGAACAAAGCGGCGTCAGGGCGTGTAACAGACTTTATTTGCCATTTCGCAGGCAAACAGGGTCCGAAAAAAAGCCTGGAACTCTTCGAGATTTCCATAAAATGCCGATTTTTTTTTCACTTTTTCTGTTCCCACTGCTTTTATTGTACCCTGTAAGTTTCCGTGATGTCTTGTACCCTCTAGCTGCCTACGAGAAACCGGTAGTGGCGAAGAAAAAAAAGAAGCGCAAAAAGAACAGGGACAATGAAGACACAATCTTTCTGTTCTATGGGGCTGTTTTCTTGCCGAGTTAACTACGAACACGGCAACTTGGCTGAATCAGAGTCCCTCTAAAAGCGAGGTCAGGAAATTCTTTGTGTTTTTCCCCGGGTGGAGTGCCAATGTGGTGCACTTTTTAAGACAGGAAAGAGCACAGGCTCGGCGCTCTTATTGCTTCCGACACAGACAAGAACCATTGTAGAAGTATAGATTGATGACTTCTTTTGCACCGACACGAGAATTCCTATCGGTCTCGACGTCTTTCGTCGAAAGCAGAACTGTCGCGGAGGAACGAGGCAAATCAGGTGCCCTTGGTACCAGCAAGTGATTTTTTCGTGAGTAGTTCCCTTTGTATATATTTTTTTTTCATTTCGGTGATGGAAGAGCAGGTATGCCGGGGCCTTACGGGTGAGTTGCCGATTTCAAGCTCGTCCTTGAAAATTGTAGAAAATGCTAAAGGTGCTGTGTGAGCTTGCCTACCCGTTTATGATGAATGTGGGAGATACGGGTACTTTTTTAGATATGTTTGCGTTTTCGTGTTTGGCTGGAGCAATCGGCGTCGTATAGGTGATGAAGCACCACTTGGTTTGAAAATTTTCCTTCCTGCATACTGTATGTCGGCTCTCTCTCTCTCTCACACACACAAGTGTGTGTGTGTGTTTGTGTGCGTGCGTGCGTGTGAAGTTTTTTCGCAAGGATTCCACTTCGAACTACAGATGTACATGCGTTCAGGTTCCGTAGGCCTTTCTTGACGTTCAAAACGGTGGCATAAATTCACGCACATCTTGAGCAGTAGACGAGCCATGACTGGGCGTGACGATGGTTACCACATTCTTCTGTGGCTCAGAGTGCACCAATAACTCTGCGATGGTACTCGAAGTGTTTTAGTGTCTATGGTGCTTAAATGCTGCACTTCTTGCTGCTGCCTAACCTGCATGGATGATTAGCTTTAGCTTAGCGT